GCTAGTACTAGACATTTGTTACAACTGGTATAACCTTAGGGCTTAGAGTAATGAGGATTTTAGAGATTAAAACAAAAAATACCAGTAACACTAAAACTCTTATCATTATATCACGTAAGGCCTTTTTTTGTCATTCTAATGATGATATTTTTTGGCATATACTGAATAAATGTATGGAAATGACCTCCGTTTTATTGCACAATTTGTTTGATATGTGACGCTATGATCATTATGGAACTAAACTATATGGAAACGGCTTATGTTTTGAGATTAATATCACACTAAAGGTGCACTTATGTCCCAGTTAAGATAATAAGAATGACTAGTATTAAGGTGTAATTTGTGTTGGAATATTTCGGACGTTGAAGGGCATACAAATTAATATACTCGTACCTAGTATTCATACACTGTGTATGTGTAGACCAAATATATGAATCTCTAGTAAGATCTTAGTGTTTAATGAAAGATTCATATATACAGGGTGGATTTTTGAGACAGGACAGTAAGGCAGGTACCTTAACTGCTATAGTTACAGGAAAACGTTCGAACGAGACCATCCATAACTTTTTGAGATATTCTGAACTGCATTCACAGATTTTGGAAAAAATGTACAGTTAGCAAAAAAAATACTAAAATACAAAAAAAATTACCGCTATCAATCATATTTCATGTAGAGATCAAAAGACTCTTTGGGGCCATTTAAGGTATGAGTACTATAAATGATAGAAATCGCCAAAAAAAAATCCCATACATTTTGTACGGAAAAACGATTAATCAACTGGAAATATTCTTTGTTGCTAAATGGATACAGATTTTAGACTTTACCACATTACGTTTGAATTGAATGTAGCGAATTAATAACCCAGTTATGCAAAAAACAGCCATGTGCTTAAAAGTACCAACAGAGTTATAAGCATTTTTCTGTCGATAGTTGCACTTGGGTTATGTTTTGTTTTTCTGGTTATTTTAAAATTGGACAATATTTATATAAGTATTGTTTATATTTTATAATTATTTTATTTTTTATAATAAAATGCTTATAACTCTGTTGGTACTTTTACTCACATGGCTGTTTTTGGCATAACTGGGTCCATTATTATATTTAGGCGAAAATTTTCTAAGTAAATATTATAATGTTGATAGCACATAATAATAATTTATTAAAGTAATAATTTTAGTAAAGTTAAAAATGTAATTGAAATATGTTTGTAAAAATATCAAATTATCTAATATCACATATTACATAACTACTAGCTATTACAATCCACTTCTTTAATTATGAATTCCATAAGGTCTACTTTTACTCAATGAAAGTAACTTCAAGTAAACTTGTATAAATCAAGTACTCTCTTTTTACTAAATAAAGTAAACGGCTAGTTGCTAAGAAGTTGTTTTGAAACAACACAAAGTATATGGCACTGGCGCATTAATAAACGAAATTGCCTAGACTAAACATAAATCACGAGGCGTATTTAGGTGGAAAGCTAGAAAGAAAATTTATGATTTCATAATGTTTAAAAAGTCGACCTAATTCCTAAAAGACATTGATATAAAGGTATAGGTAGATACAACAAAACATATTTACTTTATCTATACTTTATACTTTAATATTATAAAGAGGTAAAGTTTGTGAGATTGCGAGTTTGTGACGTTGTAGGGGGTAATCTCTGGATCTACGTAACCGATTTAGATGAATTTTGGTAAGAAGATAGTTTGAGACCCTGGGAAGGACATAGGATACTTTTTATCCCGGAAATCATCTCTTAAGGCCGTGAAAATGGGGATGAAAGTTTGTGTGGGACTGGGTAATTAAGCTAGGGACGAACCCGAGCGAAGCGAGGGTGAATCGCTAGTTTTTTTTATAAAGATACAGTAAGTACAAAAACTGCACGAACTAAACTAAAGAAATTATATTATAATTTATAACTTATATTATGTCGATAGAAAAAGATAGGTCAGATTGATCTATATAAATGTAGGTACAGAGATTTAAATCTTTTATACTTACTAATAAGCCAAGTAATTTTAAGAAGTTTGTGAACGAAGTGATCGACAAGGTTCATAAGTCCAAATTAAAAGTACCTACATACTCGATATTAAACACAGAGATTGGCTTCATATATTGTTATTTGTATGTAGTTGTTTGTATGTATTTTTTTAACAAAGCTGCTTATTATGATGCTGACTGCTTATGTTTTTTGATTATTCTAAGGACTGCTGTTCGTTACTCTTAAGTGAATTACTTGCTTGGTCGATTTGGCTATTTTTTTATAAAAAAAGTATCTTATGGTGCATGAAGGAAAAAATATAACAATTATTCGGAAAATTGGAAAATTCCGGAATAAAAAATTTCTATTGGAAATTTGAACTCGAATATAACAAACAAATTTATGGAAAATTGGATTAATAAAGCGTGTATCGTTTCAGCTAGAAGTGCGTAATAATACTAGCGACTCAGTAATTAATAAATACATTCCTTTTAAATAGAGTTTCTACGATTAATAATTATTATTATCTAAATGATAAACTGTAAACGTAAACAAACATATTTGGTTTGTCCAACTACACAAAGAATAACAAGCAGTGAATATTGTGAGAATTCAATGTTTATCAATATGTGTATTATCTTTGGGAGAATTTATTTACATCGTCAAATAAACAAGTTGCAAGACAATGATCATATCGATTAGTAATTGATTATAATTTATTTTATCTTCTGTTAAAGAATTTTAAGTAGGCTTTTAATCGAAGACTTAATGCACACCAAATGAAATTAAATATATTGTTATTATAATTTATTATAATATAATATATTACATTACATATTATAAATTATTATGTTAGATGAACCATAAAAAACTATATATAACCATTCGTTTAGACAAATCATCCTTTTTCTAAATCGATATGTGACATGGAAACTCTATGCTCGGGAATTCCCACGACAATTATGTGACTTACTCGTATTTATTGATGTTCATTTTTCAACATCATATGGATAAGTTTTTTTTTAGATTCACATATATCTACTAGTAAAAACTGTTATGCTTTTCAAATTTCATTGAGATTAACTTATTTATTTAATTTAACCATTAGATCCAATTTCTTAACCTTTTTGTTAATCCCACTAATATTATAAATGCGAAAGTTTGGATGAATGTTTGTTACTCAGTTACGCCAGAAAGGCTGATCGGATCTGGATGAAATTTGGTACACAGATAGATTATAGTCTGGGATAGCACATAGGTTACTTTTTATTCCGGAAAAATGTGCGGTTCCCGTAAGATAGATTTGTTTTTGTTTTTCACTAGAAACGAAACCGAGTGATGCTAGGGTCAGCTATTAATATTTTATGAATCAACAGTCAATCAAATAAGTATTAGACAATACTGATTTATTTAATTCATTCCACATTTTTCTTACGTATATAAAATTCGCTTTGTATCAGAAATATGAATGCGAAATACCTAAAACGAGTTTCGGAACATGACGCAGCATCTAGTCTTAAGAGCAAGTTGAATAAATATTAATTCTATGCGTGAATGGCTTCTTTTAAAATAAAAATATAACGTATATAACGTTAAAGTAGATACCTAACGCGAGTGATATACGTATTTTAACTTTAAAACCTAAAAAATTAGGACCAGTTTAATGTTCTAGCATTTAATAGTATCAAGAAAATTAATGTCATTTCCATTTGAAACTAACAATAAGTAGGAAGTATGAGAGATATAATAAATTATTTATATTGTTGTAAACGATAAACAACCTTGAATTTTGTGATTAATGTTAAATAGGCAATAAGTTAAGGAAGAACCTTTCTTCGATTCAATGACTTCTAAGTGTACCATGTGATTAATAGCTTTATTGTTATAATTTGTTTTAATAAATAGTCAAACCAATTGGACGTAGTTATGCAGAGGAGAACCAACGCTCAATTCATGTGATAATGAGTTGTGTACACAGTTGACATCACAGTCGTGTTGTTATCATGCTTTAAAACGATCCTGGCATTTTACCTATTCAAAGCATAGCTACACGTTCTTTCCAGTCAATGAGCCCTCTTCATATAAACCCTTGCCTACTGTCAAGAGTCAGGCACAGTTTTTTTGCTTAATGATACAGATAATTTAGAAGACCATTTGCAATCTGCTATAATTAAATAACAATTACAAATACAAATAGGCAAAAAAAACTGGTTTAATACAAATGGAAATTCGTTAAGGAAGGATGGAATATACCTATACAATTTTTATTTTTATACGATGCAATTTCAGTGATGGCTATGTGAAATTAATTAAAAATACTTGCAAGGCAATACAAATTTATATTATAAACTATTCAAAACGAAGAAATGAGTCCTTTTTGGCCTAACGGAAAACTATACAAGGCAATATTGAATGAACCCAAAAGATTATTGATACCTACAAAACTTATACTCTTTATCTGTACCAAACAAAAAGAAAGAGGAAATGTTTATACTTTGACGGGTTTTCTGAAAATGTTAATTTTGAGAAAAATGTGGACGATTATTTACTCATATCGTCAACTTCTTTAAGTAACACGTAGTCAGAAAATGACGTTTTTTTATAGTATAGTATAAATGATAAATTTATCCCTCTATAATTGCTTGTTTTACGTTATTGTAAATTAATATGTTATTATTTTCTTTAATTACTTTTATAACTTAGGATTGTAAAGGTGTAATTTCTAGTGATATTTATACTTATTTAGTTTTAAAAATTTAGTTATCTCAAAGTGTCATGCGAGTTGGTTCCAGTTTGCATAACCATGTCCAATTATAAAAATCATAATATGTTAGAAATATTAGAAGTAGTAAGTATATATTCGCTATTGCTATCCAAAAAAGCTGGTCATAGATAGTTCCATATAGATAAAAGTATCAAGTACTTTTATATGTATGTGTATGTGTAGTGTTGAATAATCGACCACAGACAATAAGTAAACACAAATCGTATGAATGGAACATAAGTACTCACTTTTGTTTAAAATAGTCCGATATTTGGCTAACTTTCCAGAACATCTGGACCAGCAGCATCAACAGCGTGTGATTGATCCATGTGTACAACTTGTAACAACTCTCCATTGCGCCTCTTTCTCGGTCCCAGAGAAACGGCAACAGAACGTCAGGCATCCGTCAATTTTCAAATACAAAATATTCGTGAGAATATTTCCAACGAGCCCGATTATAAACAAACGACACAGTAGAGTACGTGCACCTACTAGGTACAAGGGTTGATTACTGGCTTATGTGTTATCAGTACTTTGAACGAAAATATAGATTCCGACGCTAAATTTACGCTGTGATTCCGGCGGTGGATCGACCACGCTCGATCACCGGTGCACGCGAACTAAACCAAGTACCAATGGCTGGGCTGGCTGACGCCTCGCTAGCTCGCGATGACGATACATGACTCAGTGTAGTAATCAGCACTGAACACCGGCTGTGATAACTCGGCGAAGAATTATCAATTGCTTTTAAAAGTAAACAATAAAGTTTTATCAAATACGTATTTTCGAAGTTATTTGGCTGTTGTCACATATATTTAAGGTCTGAAAGAATTAATCAACTTAAATAGTATCAACAATTTGGTTTTTTTGGGTCAAACGTTTTACATATTTACAATTTCCTGTTGAATAATTATTCATAATTGCATGACACAACCTGTATTCAATATGGTTATTAAGACAAGAGAAATACTTATAGTGAGTGAGCTTCATATGTATTTGGTTGATTTACATATGTGTATATGTAGGTATATCCAAAATAAGCAATATAAAACTGGTTTAGATTAAATTTTAAGCACGATGTTTTATCATATTCACTAGCTTTATAGGGACAGACATACGAAATGAATCACCATTAAAGCATCAGTTTCAAATAAAAACGTATCTTGCGGATATACAATAGGTACCTACTATAATTCACGCCGACTAGTTTTGTTAGAACGTCTTTTTATTCACCTTGAAACGGTGTCTAAAAGTCTAAAATATCGACTTATTTCGCTTCGTTTTTATAGCTAGACCGGTAGAAATCAATACCCTCAGTACATGTCTAGTGACATTTGAAAAAGAGAACGAATTCCATACTTCCAGTTCCAGTTACATAATACAACTAAAATCTTAGGTAGAATATAAAACATTCCAGTTTTCAAGTGGCATTAAATGTAGAGAAAAAAAAGTAATGGGTTGTATAATTTTTACCCGAACGGAATCGAACTCACAATCTTCAGCTTGCATATACTATATGTTTGGCGCAAGATCAACACGTTCACGTAACACTTTATGGCATATAATAAAACACAACTTCCACTAATAATTGCCAACAACCGCGCAGTCCAATAAAGTTGTCCAAATGCACCAGTGGAAACAAAAGCAAATACCTACATGCTGAAGACGTTCATGTAAATTTCTATTTACTCTAAAGTGAACACTCAAAAACAAAATTATGTAGGACAATATTATGTAATTAAGTAAGCTTTTCCTAATATTTACGCAAATATTTGTCGTATTAAGTAAAAATATTTTTTCGGATAATTTTGCGTTTTTTCGTTACCGACGATTCGAATGCTTTACAACAATCATGATCACAGGAGACTGAGCTTTTTGACGTCTCAAAAGTCATAGCTAATACTGTTGCTGTGTACGTACGAAAATAATAAAATATTTTAAAATTAAAGGAAAATGGCACCGAAGTACATACCTCACAATTTTATAAGTAAATAGTTCTAACTGGTGTTGCTGTTTATAAATTGAAAATATTTAGTCTGGGTTGTTATTATTACGAGTATAATTATTACAATTTTTTGTTTTTATTTATATCACTCACTATTTCATTCTATTACAAAATAATTATTATCATTATTTTATATTTTATGATCCTATGAGTGACATCGAAGGCCGTAAATATGGCATGCGAAGCTCGGAGCTAGTCCTCTGGGAATCAATTGGTCTACAATTGTTATCCACTAGCGAAACGCTGTCACATTTTTCCTACGCCTGAGTAATAAAATATATTATATTAGTATTAAATATTAATATTATAAAGATATTATTATTTATTAACTTATTTAGTACCTACACACACGACACATATACCATCGATGAATTCATCATTCATCGATCAAAGATCGAATGAAAGATCAAGCCTATCGTTCAATAAAAAAAAATTAAAGTCTTGTATTCCTTCTAGACTTTTCTTTATTAATATTATCATAATTTAGCTGCTGTGCACGTTTAAATTTAATGCCGCTAATGTCACGTAGAAGACCTAATTCCTAATTTGAAAAGTGATAAGCTAAGACTCTACATGCATGATGGCGTATAATAGCTATTATACTCGTAAAATATACACATTAAAAGAGTATTCTGGTACATCGTAAGTCGTAACAGTGACAAAGTAGAGAAATGCATCAAGTGTATTTACTATTTATAATACTCGTATCATATTCAAAATAATAATAATAAATATGTTGGGACATTAACACACAGCACCATCTAGTTCTTATAGTTGATACACTACACATATATAACTTTATATACATACATATTATAAATATATGCATATATAAACATCCATGACTGGAATATAAACATTCGTGCTCATCACAGAAATGAATGCCCCCAGCGGGACTAAAACCCGAAACCGCTGACACAACAAATACGAGTAGGTAGGTCAATATATAATATTCAAAATAGAATTTAAAATTTTTCACTATAACATATTAATTGAAATAAGAGTTTTAAAAATGGATTCACAATTGGCGTTCAACAAGATATCGCGTAACACACAAATACACACACATCATAAAGGCGCACGTACGCGCTTGTACGCACGCACATACCAACGCGCACATCCTATTCTTGACATCTGTCAAAAATTAAATCAATACATTTTTTACTATGGAGAAATTACAAAAATCAATTTTATCTATCCATGTCGTTAGGCTAATTTTTATCGCAAAAAGAGAAACGATTCCCCGCGGGATAACGCATGAAAGTTTTGTGAAAGTCTAGGTATTTGCTATTACGTATAGGAAATCTACGTCACGAATTTTTTATATGGACTAGAATAATTAGATTTCATATCCAAAATAAAAATATTTCAAAACGAAAGGCAGTAGTAGCCCAGTGGTAACGCGCTCGCTTGGGAAACCGAGTAAAGCGGGTTTAAATCCATGTCTCGCACCTCTAATATTTTGATGAAACATGATTACTACTTGTCTTACGGTGAATAAAAACATCGTGAAGAAACCTGCATGTCTGAGAGAACCTAGCAAGTTTTCGAAAGACATGTGAAGTGCGCAAACCCGCGCTTGGCGAGGCTATGGCTTGATCCTCCTTGTATTGAAGGGAGGCCCGTGCCCAGCAGTGGGACGTTAAAAAGGTCTGAATACAATAATATAATATGATAGACAACGAATTTATGTGTGATGTGAGTTTAAACTTTAAACCCATAATCGTAGTTAGTAAAAGTGACTAAGCTGATTAAATCATTCATCTAACAACATAAGGAAGTTTTTAAGACCATCAAAGTATAAGATTACGTCTTATCATCGTTATCATTTTATTTTTAATTTTTTAATAATATGATAGTCCAGCTTACCCTCGCATCCCGTGGGTGCGTCCCTAGATACTTTTGTATTTCTAATATTATATACAGGGAAATTTTATGATTGATGAGAGCTGTCTGTGTCTAAAACATTCAAATACATACGAGCACGTCCACTATATTAGTGTGAAAATGTAACGAACACGCAAGCTTTCGGAATTATAATAGTAGTGTCACCAGTGTTTAGAATTTCACTGTTCTGTTAAAACCTATAAAACTGTATCTTTAATAATATGTAAGATAACCATTAAATTGAATAAATATCATATCATCTGTCGTTTGTCTATGTCTATGTGCAAAATTGATTCCTAGATATCCGTCCAATAAGACCTTCGCGATTGATACAATTCTTTTCAATAGAAACAACAAAGTAATCAACAGGTCAGAGAACTTTAAATGGAATTTAGTATTGGTCACGAGTCGTATATTTACCCCCTAAGGGTGAATGAAGGTCGTGAAGGCTTTTACGGAATATAAAGCCTATAAAACATTTGCCTACGAAGATACGATGAAGATTTACATATACGAGTAGGTAGTGCATTTACATACACATTGTTTCTACTCGTAAAATATTTTCCTCGTTTCTTTCTTTCTTGAGCTACTTATATGTTATGTACGTATAATTTTTATTGGGTAACTGCATTAATGTAACAAAATATATGTATTCAAACTTCAAGCACTTCCAAACGTGTAAATTATTTGAAGTATTAAGAATAGCTGATGATAAATCAATTTTTTTGAGCTGGGAATAGTTTTTTTCAATACCTATTTTTCGTATTTCTTTCAAAAATAAGATCAACCCAAAATTTTAAACTGTATATTATGGTTTTTGGTAACGCAACAGGTTTAGAAATATTTAATAGGAGTAACCGGCCTTTTTTCTTAGTTTTCGTTGTAAGTTTTATAAGGCTGTTATATCCTTTGCATTGGCTATTAGTCTAATTTCTCTACCCTTTTAAAATTATTAGTCACAGTACAACTTGGTGGAAGGTTTGTTGTCCCTGCGGAACAAATTATTGATTCACCGAGAAGTTTTGTATCTGAGTTGTTGGTAAGCTACACCAAAAAATCTAATGTAAATTAAATTTTATTCGTACTTACAAACGTAGTTTAGTTCTGTATAATTTCTCCGCTTCTATGTTTGTGCCGCAATATTGTATGTATAGCTTATAATCAATCTCTATAAAATGTAATAACAATTTTTGAAAATTGAAAACATTCACAGGTAGTTCAAAGTTCGAGAGATTAGCGTGTTCAACAAACAAACTCTTTAACTTTTTTAAATACTAGTATGAATAAGTTATATTTATATAATACTAAATTTTTAAGTATATATTTTTAGTCATCATCATTAAAATTGGTCAATCGCCAAATCTATACATATAATAAAATTATAACTAATTCGAATCTGTATATTAAAATTTTTTGGAAAATCTTATTGAAATAGACATTATTTTCGATACAGAGGCCGAATCTCTAGTTTTTAGATTTTTTGTCTGTCTGTCTGTTACCGCATCACATAA